GCCTCAGACAATGCTGTAGAAGCGGAGAAAGAGACGGTAACCCTCCTTACAGCTGAACACACCACACAATCCCCCGTCCGCGTTTAGGAGCAAACGTAAACGAGACAAGTATGCGATGGGGCGAGCCGGGCCATTGGTGGGCCGGATCCAAAACCCTAGCGCAGGCAAGTAGATACAAGTATGCAAAACAGCTCTAAGCTTTTCCGACGCATCTTCGAACGACACTCCCTGGTATCTCTATAGGACTGAAAATATAAGATTTCGGGTTTATAGCATCAAAGAATCTTACTCTAAATTAACACAGTATACAGGCTTGTTCGCTTCTTTCAAGCCGACAAGGTTACGCATTCGTGTCTGTCTTGCAGAGACACCGTACGTGCTTCTAGCAACCGATCTTCTCGAAGGCCAGGGTTACTGCGGCTGCAGAATACAGATAATCGAAGGTGACGTATAGCCTCTAGTTTCTACTAGTGGCAACAATGCATTCGGCTAATCCTGATGCTGCAGCCGCTTGGACAACCTCGACACTTCTATATGCATGCTTGCTCTGCACAAACCTTGTTCCTGCATTGTTGCGAGGAAAAAACTATACCTAGATAGTCTTCCGTCTAACGCAATTTTTGTCCAGAGTGCCAAAGAAATGTTCTTAACTAGCTATTAAGCAGTTCTTTTCTAGACGACTTAATTGAGGATCAATCTTGAATACTCCTACTTTTCAACTCCTTCGAACGTCCAGAATGGAAAACTCCCAAGCATACTGGTGTACAGGGATGCTTGGCTCGTATTCGGCCTTCAAGCATACTACGATTCAAATCCCCTACGAAAAAGGGGTATCCTGCGCCTGCTGTAGCGAAACCCGATTAAAACTATTTCAACGCTGTGAAAAATGCGGCAAGACGTGGTGCAGAAAGTGCTGGAAAGAGACAGTTCAGCAGGTAAGTTGACAGTCGTGCCTGATTACGATTCAAATTAATATGGATGCTAATTCTCAGACCAGAGCACGAACCCTGTGAAATATCGAAGACCGTGGTCTCAATGTGCGGATCAGATGTAGATATGAATGGGGTACGGCCCTAGAGAGCAATGCAACGGAGATCAAATCGACATACGCGCCCACTTCTACATGAAGAAGGTGGCCCTTCATGAGGTTGTGGAATGACTATAGCGTGTTTGATTTTCGCTTATTCGAGTTTTGAAAGACTTAAATAAGTCGCCTTTAACGCCAAACTCTGCTCTTGGTCTACATATGCTAACGTTTTACGCAAATCCCACTCATTTTTCCTTCCTTCGTCCCTAATAATTATAGATCCGCATTATGTAACAAACAGACGTCCCTATTCAACTAACCTATCTCTACAGATCTCTATAAGAAATCATAGCATAGTCTCCGCCTCCTAGTCAACATCACAAATACGGTTCAGACATAAGTCTCGGACGCGAAAGCCTTGACAACAGCACATGGCTTATTGGAGGTCGTAAAGCTGGGCTCTGACACACGTCGCATGTCAGATGGAAGACTCTCGGAACTGCGCTTGATTCGCAGCTTTTCCATCAGCTTGCCGATGGTCACATACTCCTGTGGCTCGATGTCAAGGCCGGCATTCTGCGATTGGAAGAAAGTCACGACTGGCGTCTACTGCGCCCCAAAAAACTCAACAACGACAGGCATGCCCCTACGGGCTTTGCGGACTACGACCTATCAAGAAAGCGATTTTGGTGTCAATTGTCTGCTAGTTGCGGCGTGGTTAGGTTATACAGCAGATCAGGGCAGACAGGGCAGAAGGTGCATAGGTATGGTAGGTGGACACGAGGTCTGGCATGCCGGGGTTTCGAAGACGCGCTGGCAGCCGGCTCGCAGCGAGGCTCGCGCGCACAGCGGTGGGGTTGCAGTGTATGGATCTCCTGAAAGTCTTGAGTGATGTAATCCCAGGCCGCGATAGGGGTGGAGCAAGGGTTAAGTGGTATTTACAAGCTCGGAAATTGCACCGACTCACTTCTTATCTTTCTCAAGGATTGATATGCTTTATGCTATGCTCCATAGCCCGGCCGAGTGGGAAAGAGAGCTCTGCTCCCCTTGCTGGCCCTTGTTGAATTGTACCCAGGCAAGCCCTGCCCCAAGCGCTTGCTGGATCAGGCTCAGAATTCAACAGGTTTCACAATCCTTACCAGTTCTGACAGTGTGATGACATCACAGAGGCAACCGGAAATCATCGTTTTGGTATCCTCTCCAATGAGCGCAGTAAGCGCCCATTGGGGTGACCAGTGAATGCGGCGTAGTATTGGCGCAACTCTTCGATATTACAAAGAGAAGGCTCGTATATAAAGCGGTCTAGTTCTATGGCCACTAGGGAAGCCGGGGGCAATGGCAAAACACAGAACAACTATTGCTCTGCACTCTCTTCCACCGGTGAGCCATCCTTACGCGCACGAGGCTGAGAACACGACCGGTAAGGAGATGTAGCAGTGATCAGCAGATGATGCAACATCCCGGCGACCCAGACAACACCTCTTGTCAAGCTACATATCATCACTATTAAGCCGTGGCCCAACTCGGAATAGGATCTCGAGTGACCTAGGGACCGTCAGGGGTGGAACTAGCGGTGATTTACGGGACAGAGGAAGTGCGGTCATACACAATGCAGTGGCCACATGATAAGTAAGAGACCTAAGTCGATCTATATTCCGGTTCTGTCATATGCGGTGCTTGAAAGGTTATGCCACTAGAGAAACATCGACCATTTCATTGCAGACTTGCTATCAGGCTGGAGTAATTGATGAAGGTGGAGAAACGTGTGCAAACTTGTTGTATTGGAGCTACGGGAGGAGTGAGAATATCTATGGTGCGCGCACGGAGCAGCTGACTAATCAGTGCCTGGCCAATCAGAGCACGGGAAGCCTGATTCACCGTGAATACTAGTGAAGGCTCTTACCGCGTCTCGACAGTAATACTGATATCCTGCTCTTACAACTCGATAGCTTCTACTAACTAACGGTCTTACATAATCTTGTATTGTCTAGAATATGACCTTGCCATTTCGGGTGTGACTAAATAGCCTCAAAGGAGGTGTTTTGTAGGTGAGCTAGC